TTAAGGCAGGAGACATAAAAGAAGTAGGTGCAGGGAAGATCCCTGCACCAGGGAAGATCCCCTGGAGAAGGGCATGACCATCAACTCCAGTATTCCTGCCTGAAGGGTTCCATGCACAGAGGCTACAGTCTGTGAGGTTGTAGAGAGTCAGACCGAGTAACACAAAAAGCATTTCTTAATTATCTAAAGGTCAAAAAGAAAGCCACTTTCCATTTATTAAGCTCATTCACCAGAATAAAATGAGACATTTATTGAGTTGAGTTACAAGAAACTTTTTCTAGGCAGTCAAATCTGAGTTTATAGAGACAAAATGAAACCCAGTATCTTTCAAATCTTTACAAGTTAGCTATCTATAACTTCTTTCAGTTTAATAGAACCAATACCAACATAACAGTTAAATATTTCCTGTATAGTTGTAAGGTAGTAATTAAACTTATTTAAACATGAAGCCTCTTTGCTCTCAGCAATTTATGAACAGGAATAATTTTACACAGACTGCAATGCAAATCACTAAGCACATCTATACTGCAACATGTTTAATTAAGATGAACAAATTAGTCAACTTCAAGACATGGGATAACTCAAAAAGCAGGTATGAGCTGAGAAATAGATGTAGAAAACTACAATGTCTATTATTAAAGGATAAGGATGCCTTCAACTCCGGATAATGAGTTAATTGCTTTTCTTGATTTCTCAAACACTTTTCAGGAATTGTAATTATTGAAGCTAATGTTAGTTCATGGGTGAAAGTAGGGAGTTCAGAATTTAGGGACAATGGAAAGTTATTATTTGAAATTTACCAGTAAGATTTGACCCACAATGATGCGGAGTAGAAATTCCCAGAGTAACCCTCGAAACAGAGTATTTCCTAAATCTTGGTTAAGAGTCTATAGGAAGCAATGATAAGGGTATGGCATTTAATGGAAAGAAGATCCAAAGAAAAAAATTTTCAAGAGAGAATACACTGAGGAGAAGGAATTCCTATTGTGTAACATTCTGATGCATCAGTCTCTTGAGAGTTCAGTTAGAGTAAGTCAGTATCTTCTGAGTGAAGAGACAAAATACAGTCTGGGGACCTAAAAAAATAAAAAACTGGACCTTTTCTTGAAATAACTCAAAATAAGTATAACCCAGAGCTTTACCTTAATAGCCAACTAATCAGTTTCACCTCCTTGATTTCTCTCAGATATAACTTCTAGAATCACAGATTTAAATCTAACCTGGTTGTGGCAATAACACAAAAAGGGGTCATTGAATTGTTAACCTCTCAGATCCTCCTCTTAATATGAACCTGAATCCACACTAATGTGAGGCAGGTAAAGATGCCAGTTGGAGCCTGGCTTTATATTCCACTTTAACAGGAAGCCATCAAGCATGATTGTTCCAAATAAAAATATGAAGGAGAATGATAACACTGCTGATATATCTGTTAGAAATTTTCAGCTGTCTTTTAAAAAGCATGATTGTAGCAGAGAGAAATGGTTTGCCAAACTCTGTTTCTTTTTCTTCTTGGGCACACAGCTAAACTATATTTTCCAGATTCTCTTACAGTTAACTGTTGCCATGAAACTGGGTGGGTTCCGGCTAATAGAAACGGGTAGAAATGATGTTTCCCATTTCTAAATCTGGCACATAAAAATTTCCTTTATGATCTTTCATATGCTCTCTCTTTCCCCATTGACTGAATAGACAGAACTCTGAGGTCTTGGAGAAGAGCCACCTAACTACGTATACCTGTATTAAACTGACGTACACTTAGGAAGAAATAAATAAATATTATGATAAACTACTAAACTTTTGATGTTGTTTTGTTAAAGTAATTAACCTACTCCGACAAAGGCAGAAATTGGTATGAGGAGTGGGAAGTCCTATACGTGTGTGCTAAGTTGCTTCAATCATGTCTCACTCTTTCAGACGCTATGGCCTGTAGCTTGCCAGGCTCCTCTGTCCATGGGATTCTCCTGGCAAGAATGCTGGAGTGGGTTGCCAAGTCCTCACCTAGGGGATCTTCCAGAGCGAGGGATCGAACCTGAGTCTCTTATGTCTCCTGCACTGGCAGGTGGGTTCTTACCAGTAGCACCACCTGGGAAGACCCTGGAGGCACAGCAACATAAGTTAGAATATTAGATTAATGGTTAGTGGATGGCGGCAGGCTGAAAAGCTACGATTCATGTTATGCAGTGCCTTTGAAAATCTGGAAGGCAGAATCTGAGCCAACTGAGACTGTTCTAGGCAATGAGATTGGGAAACATTACTATCAAGGTATATTGGTGGTATTTAGCAAGATGCTGAAAGAAGAGGATAAGTTCCAGTAAGATCTGGCTCATTTTCAAGCCAAAATTAAAGGGAATAGATGGAACTATAATTTATCATAGTTACCATTAAAACATTTGAAATAAAACTGAATAAAAGCTTAGAAAAACTAAAAGTGAAAGTCACCCGTAATCCCCAAAATGAAAGATCACCATAACTAATATTTAGTATACTCCTATGCCGGGAATTTACACAAGTATCCATGCCATACCATATACAGTACATACCATACCACTGTACAGTACAAGCAGTTTTGAAACTAAACTTCTTTCCCAGTAGTGTAGAGCAAGCAAGTTTACCAAATATTTTTCTACATAATCACTTTTTGTGGATTTTTATGCTATATTATAAATTAATAGGCCAATAATTTATTACTATAGTAACTAACAGACCAATATCCTCAGCGTGAAACATTTCTGTCTTATATTTCTTAAACTGGAATTCTTGGGTCCAAGAGTAGGTACATTTTGAAGGCTTTATATATGCAATCACAACCCTCCAGAAAAATGTCACTATTATATATTTTCAACGGCAATATGTGGGAATGCTGTTTCAAAGTTTCACTGATATTTTATATTTATAATTTTGCTTTTTATTCTTTGCCATTAGGATTATAACTCAAGGTCATAGGACTTATCAGTCCATGGATGCAAAATAGGTCATGAGTACCACCTTTGTGACCTTGAACAGGGTTGACATTACATCACCAATCTTGGGTCCTCATTTCTAAATCTGGGAGAATATCTACAACACAAAGTTGTAGGGAAGATTAATAAGATGAAATATATAATTTTTTTGGCATATAGTAGATGCTTGATAAATATTTTTATTGTTACAACATATAAAATTTAGTCTTTTTTTTTTTTTAAGAAAACAGACCCTGCCCTCATGAGATTACTAATTGACATACATGAGCCCGTTTTCCAGATTCTTTCTCACTTATTAACTATTACTTGGGGAGCACCTATACATAAAGACAAAGTGTGTTAAGATAAATTATGTTTCAGCTAGGACAATGAAGGTTACGTGTCCGACTCTCTGCGACCCCATGGACTGTAGCCTAACAGGCTCCTCCCTCTATGGGATTTTCCAGGCAAGAATACTGGAGCGGGTTGCCATTTCCTTCTCCAGGGACACTCAGAACTAGGAAGTGGGAAATTTTGAAAGAGAAGACAGCCATGAAATTCAAGAGGTGGCATAAAGTAGAGAAAAGAGCCTCTGTGCTAACCCTTGAAGGATGCCACTGAGCAGTTCTTTTTCTGTGTAAGCCACGCATGGAAATACTTTCCGGTGGTGCTTGAGTAGCTTGCACCACTTTTACTATTGTTTAGATCGTCAATCCGTGTTTCTGTCTCTCACTTACTGTGATCCTGGAAACTTCAGGCTCACAGAGGCTATCTTATTTATTACCGAGTTCTCCAGTGTCTAAGTGAACTAAAAGCCATAATGAGAGTAATCACAGGCGCTCTGGCTTTTAAGTTTAGTCCAACTTTGAGTCTGGCTCTAGAATCTGATTTCATTTACTTCAGGCTGAGCTCTTAGCTCGGGTTTTGGGGGGACTTTTAGGGTTGACATAAAATACAAGATGCCTGGTTAAATTTGAATTTCAGATAAAGAATACTTTTTTTGTTGTTAATCAAAGGCTACTTTATACTAATTTATGAATTATGCTTTGGAATTCTCTAAGTCATATGTGGATAACTTCATATTAATAAAAATATATACATTTTACGTATAATGGAAAGATTGGAAATTTCCTTCAATAACTTTATTCTTTATAAAACATATAAATAAATAAAACTTTTCAACTTCTAAAGGACTACCACGTTTAAGAAGAAGGTATATTGCTATCACCATTTTAGATTACGGGAATGCATCCCATTCTTTCATCTTCCAATCCTAGTGGCAAAGTGGGAACTGAACTGAAGTTGGATTGTGACATGACTGCCAGGGATAGACACACAAAGACATAAACAGACATTTCCAAACATGGAATGCTGGGCCGCCAGAAAAGTGGCAGAGCGGAGTCTACCGAGTCTTGCACTCTGGCACATCTTTTCCCGACTACATTTGCCAAGACCTGGCTGGGGATCCTCGGTCTCCACTTCAGCAGTTTGTTCTTCTGGACAAAGGCCTAAACCTGAGTTATCAAAATAGCGAATTGGAGGAGGTACTGGCAAAGATTTTAATCGGTTATCAAAAAAACCAAGATTTCGGCGACTCCCAAATCGGACAACCCTAGTAACTTCTCTGGTCTTGTTATTTGGAAATTAGGATGAAAATAGTAACTTCATAGGATAATCTATAAAGAACCTCGCGCATGGTAGGAGGCAAATCGACCTTCCAAATCAGGATACTTTCCAAATCAATTTGCCTTCCAAATCAGGAGGCTTAAAACTTACTCCAAACCTCCAGGACAGCGGCCCCCGCGCCCTCCAAATGTAGTTACCCTTATTTTGCGTTCTAAGTGTGCAGAGAAAGTTTAATACAACTTTGAATAAAGTTGCCAAATTGCTCTCAGAGATTTGCGAACGCACCTTCATAGTAATACCAGAAGGGTGTTTAACCGAAGTTGCCAACAGGCGGAAAAGCTTTTCCTTAATTACGGAGAAAGCGAAGCCTCCATCTCTGCGCGTGCGCACAAGGGCTCGGCGTCCCCGAGCCCGCCCCGCCCACGCGGCCCGCTGGTCACGTGGACGAGCCGAAGCCCTGACGGCGCCGGGACCGGTCATGTGACCCAGCCCCTAGCTTCCCGCAGGGATGGAGCCGGAAGAGGGGACGCCCTTGTGGCGGCTGCAGAAGCTTCCCGCAGAGCGGGGCTTGCAGGTGAGGAGGGCGCAGGGGCCGGCTGCGCGGGCCAGGCTCCAAAAGGCCTGGCGTGAGGGGTCGGCCTCATCCCGCTGCCTTTGGGAGCCTCGCGCCGGCGGCCCGGGGAGGGGAAGAGGACCGGGTGTGCTTTTGGGTGCTCCCTCGCCCCACGCCGTGTTCTGTGGAGAGTGGAGAGTCCGAGGCTTGGGGCGCCTCCGCCGTGCTCCGGCTTCCAGTGGCCCCTCCAGGGGTTTTGCGTGCAGACGTCCGCCCAGCCGCGCCCGCACCCTAGCGGGGACCACCTATCCGTTCCCGGGAGCGGCCGGGACCAAGTGACCCTGGACTGGGGAGTGCGCAGTCGCCAGCTTGAAAGCTGGAGGGGTTGGTTTACAACCTCTTGTACATGTTTCATTGGTTCATTCACTGTTTCAGCAACAAAACCGCCACAACATTCCCTGTGCACAAGGAACAGTGGTGCGAGGTGATGGGAATACCTTGGTGACCTAGAGAGGCAGACCGTAATTCTTTGTGGGCGGCAGGAAAAAATGATGTGTCACCCAAAACTGGGAGGCTTGCAGGTAGGGTGGTCCACGGTGGACCTTACTGCGAGACGTGACATACGTTGGCCCCTCTAGTCTTAAGAAGGAACCTAGTTTATGAGAATCTGGAAAAAAGCAGCCTTTTCCACTTGTTCAGCCAACTCGTCACTGAACTATGTGCTTAATGCCCTATGGGATAAGGTGAAATGGTGAATGAGACAGCCCATACTCTGGTGGACCTTGCCAGCTAATGATGAAACCAAGCTGAATAAATGGATAACTGGATGAATGAGTTATCCAGTGATCGGTTTGTAGGAGGGGTAGCAACTCTGGTTAGAAGAGGCAAGGAAACGTTTTCCAGAGCATCTGCCTAGGTTTCTAGGTTGAGTTCCTGAAGGATGAGTAGGAACCAGATGGGCTGGGGGGAGAGCGCGTTTCAGGCCAAGGGACAGCTCTTATGAAGACTGGAAGAACGGCAGCCCCGGGAGCCTTAGGACCTGCTGTAGCTTTAGAGGCCAGAGTTCAGAGTGAGAAGTAGAGCAGGGAGACTGTGGCTGAACAAGTGAGAAGCCGTCAGGAGCTTCTGTGTACTGTACTCCTGGGTTTAGCCTTAATACCAAAGGTGCTGGCAGTTTATAATTGTTTTTGACAGCAGCACATTTTTAGTTTGAAGGGTGAGAGAAATGTGGAGACAGTAAATACATAAAACGAAATTTTGTCTGTGAACTGTGAAAGGAAGAACACCCAGTGGTTACTGTAAGAGGGAAATCTAACTGAGAAGTGTTTTTTTCTCCCTGAACTTTGAAGTTAAAAAACCCTTGGCGCCCCAAGTATGAGACTCGAAAGAAATTTGCCAGCCCTATTAAAAAAAGGCAACCTATGCAAAATAGAGTTTCAGCCGGAGCTCCAGGAGCTATGGTCCTTTGTCCTCTGACTTCAGAGAACTGACTTTGTGTTATAATTAATATGTTACTGTGCTTACTCCCATCTTTTTCTGTTCCCCAGCAGTTCCAGCCCAGTCAAGTCTTTCTTGAACACAACTTCCTAATTGGTCCTCTTGCCACTAGTCTCTCTCATTCGGAACTCCTTCACGGTATATACTTTGCTTATTTACCTGGTTCTTGAGAATTATGTCTGGCCCCAGGTGGGTTCTTAAGCAGTGTTTACTAAAGGAAGGAATCGATTAATGTTTACTAAATTCAGCTTTATCATCTCGACCAAGGTCTGGATTCCAGGCTCTGGTGGGCTGGCTTTTAGTTTCTATGATATGTAATTCTGAATAAATCCCAAATCTGTTTCATTTACAGTGGATGAAGGTTGGAGACGAGGGCTTAGCCCGCTAATGTGATAGAGGGCAATGTGGTAGGCAGCTTTTATAAGCCCCAAATCTCTGCCTTTCTTTTTTCGTTGTTCCATTTATAATGGGAATAGTGTGAAGGAGATAGTAATAAACTTACTTACCTTGCTAGGATAAAAGAAAAAAAAGATCTTTTCTTTGACTTTAAAATGAGAAAACTGAAATGTCTGTAGAGGGTTTGGGTCACGTACCCAAAGTTGTCAGACTAGTAAGTGGCAAAGTGGAAACAGATGCTCAGATCTGTTGACTCTGAGTCTATTGGCTTTCTGCTCCTGTCTTCATCCTATCTGCATACTACTTAGATAGGCCTGTAAGCTCTGCCAGGTATGTGGATGACTCCTGAATCTCTGGATCTCAAAATCTCTTCTGAGTGTCAGGCTTCTGCTTAGACACACCCACAGGTACCCGAAATGCAGTGTATGCTTGGCTTAGCTCCTTTTCCTTCTCCCTGACTTCCTCCTTCTGTGGCTGTAGCCTCAGATTTGGTTTGCGATACCACCACTCCCTGTCGTTCAACCTGCGGTTCTGAGCATCGTCCTTTCCAGACCGCCTTTACCTCTCTGCCGTCTCCAGCTTGAGCGTCCCTGACAATTTACCGTCTCCCTTTTAGTCTCTTGCTGGTAAGTAGATGGAAGTGAGGGGTCCTTGGACTCACCCTCTGGCTTCTTTCCTTCCTTACATCCCCTGGCCTGCTGGCAGATTTATGGAACCATAGTGCAGACACGTGACTAGGTCGCTTACCTGTTGAACACAGATCGTGGCCTGGGCTCTTCTGCGCTGTGTGCAAGGCCCTCTGTGGTTCGGTCTCTGCCAGCTGCCCGGCTTTGTATGTTTGTCTGCTGCCGTCTCCCAGATCGCGCCTGTGCTTTCACACTTTCATCCTGTCAGTGCGCCACTGTTGGGACTAGAAATACCCTGCTCCTGTTTGGCCAACTATTCATTCTTTTAAGACATACTTTTCCCTTCTGTGCTCCTTTGTACCCTCTGTAAACTTTAGTTATAACTCCTGTCCTCCTAAATTGTATATACTTACTGATTGTATTAGTTTTCTCTGATGGCCTGAGGCTCTGATATGATAGGACCTTATCTTATTTAGCCTCAGTTTCCTCATTTGTAAAATGGGGATAATAGCAAGACTTACTTCACAGGGTTGTAGTGAAGATCAGCACAGTTTTCGGTATGTAATTAGGGCTCTATAAATGCTAGCTGTTATAGTTATTTTTTCTTTGTATTTACATTAACCTGTTTAATAACTGGAATGAAGTGCTCATTACACATTCGTGAATTAATTTTAAAAGACTATATTCCAAAAACGTAGTGCTCTTAGTTTTCAATTTGAGTTCTGGGTTTTACTTTCGCATTGGGGACAGTTTGGGATAAGGTGAAGTGTAGGTAGAGAATTTTGAATGATTACAAATTGAAAATGTTGTTGGTTAATTTATGGTAAATAAAAGTTCTGCTCACATAGTGCATTAGCCATCATTTGGAATTAGGGTCGCCAATTATTCATCTCTGTTCCAATATGTATGGTGTTACAGAGGAGTTTTTGCTTAAAATGCACTGGAACATGATCCAGGAGAAAAGAGTTGGAAGCCTCCTTGCTGTTCAAGTCCATTTCCAAGTTGTTTGGATTCAGGTACTCTTCTTACAGCACACAAATATCTCTTTAGAAAGAAAACTGTATTGATCACTTGCCTAGAGGAGTGCTGATACAGTAGGCACTCAGTTATATATGTTAGAGGCGTGGAACATAGTACCAGTAGTAAGAGTGATGATGATACTTAGAACTAGTAATAAGAAAAAGGGTAACAATGGGAGGCAATGTCTAATGTCAGGAGTGTGCCAAGTGATTTGCATGTAGCCTTCTTCAGTCCTTAAAACAACATTATGGGCATAGATGAAATCCTCTTTTTACACATGAGGAAACCAGCGAAGAGTCTTTTAACTTGGCAAAACTACCAGTTTTGTTACAAAAGTCATAGACTTAGTCACATGTTCAGTTATATATGTGTTAGGATTTCCACTGCTGGCATTAAGGTAGGGTAGAGAGAAAGAAATGTAAAAAAGAGAAAGTAAGTCAATGAGGGGTTTTTTGGAGTGGACCAAAAGAAGTAAGTGTGGATGCCATGGAAAACAGAGAGAAGGGGTTTGTAGATCTACAGCTGAAAGACTTTGGTCTAAGACTCATACCTTGTTTTTTGGTTATTGGTGTAAGTATGAAGTCTAAAGAATCCCAAGGAGAAACTGCTGCACTCACCATCTTCCTTTTAGGAACACTGGAGAAACAACAGCATATCTGTAAAATTATTTTAGTTTCTGAAGGTGGACAGAATTATAGAATGTGTGTGTGTGTGTAGTTCTAACTTTTAGTTAATAAAATAATGTTAAAGATAGTTGCTTTTCAGCCTCAGCAGCTTCTGCAGATAGCATGAACTTCTACCAGTAACATTTATTTGCTACAGAAAAGATAAATCTGTTTTATAATTTTACTTATAATTGCATTTATTACTCTCTCTCTCTTTTTTTTCTCTCTCTAGCTTCTTCACAAAATAATTGATGGCATTTGTGGCCGGACTTATCCTCTCTACCAGGATTATCACAGTGTTTGGGATTCAACAGAATGGATGCATGTTCTCGAAGACATTACCACCTTTTTCAAAGCTGTAGTTGGTAAAAATTTATCTGATGAAGAGGTAACTTTGCTCCAGATTTCGATACCTTGATAATTCATGTTCAGATTTGTTTTTATTATTTTGGTGTTTAGGGTACCATGTAATACATTCTCAGTAAGTGTATAATGAAAAGTGAAAGTGTTAGTCACTCAGTCCTGTCTGACTCTTTGTGATGCCATGGACTGTAATTTGCCAGGCTTCTCTGTCCGTGGAATTCTCCAGGCAAGAGTGCTGGAGTAGGTGGCCATTCCCTTCTCCAGGGGCTCTCCCCGATTGCAGGCAGATTCTTTACCATCTGAGCCACCAGGGAGACCCAAGTGGATAAAATCAGTTCAGTTCAGTCGAGTCCGACTCTTTGCGATAGCAATAAAAACCTAGTAATTGTGAGTAAGTGGAAAAATCTGTGGAAGTTTGGGGTTTTGTACTTTTGTTTCTGATTGGTTGTCTTATTTTAAATTGTGAAACATTTAAATCATGTGGAAGAAAATTAAAAGGTGTGTAGCTGAAACTCCAGTACTTTGGCCACCTGATGAGAAGAGCTGACTCATTTGAAAAGACCCTGATGCTGGGAAAGATTGAGGGCAGGAGGAGAAGGGGATGACAGAGGATGAGATGGTTGGATGGCATCACCGACTTGATGGACTTGGGTTTGGGTGAACTCTGGGGATTGGTGATGGACAGGGAGGCCTGGCGCGCTGCCGTTCATGGGGTGGCAAAGAGTCGGACATGGCTGAGCAACTGAACTGAATTGATACCTATATTCCCATTACCACAATTAAACAATTGTTAATGTTTTACTTTATGTATTTCAGGTTTGTGTGTGTGTTTTAGAAACAAAGAATTACAGATGCACGTAAATGTCACCCTCCCAATAGAAAAAAACCACTAGTGAATTTGTATGCATGTTTTGTATTCTCTAATGTATGAATGTTTGCATCTTTAAGCAATATATACAATTATTTGAGCAATATATACAATTATTTAAATGTGTAGCTTGTTAATGTAATGTATGTATCCATTTATAATTTTTTCAGCAATACTGTGTTTTAGATTTATCAATGTTGAAAAGCATTGATCTGGTTAATGTGTTTCATCTCCTTGTAGTGTTTGATGATAGGCATTAGTAAGACTTATTTTTCTGTCTCCCTGCTGATGACAATTGGATCATTCCCTCTTTCATTATTATGAATAGTGTTGCTGCAAACATTTTGTATGTGTCTTGTTACACACAAATTGGTCAGCTTTTCTAGAATAGACATCTTAAAACTGCAGGGTCATGGGGTATCTTTCCATTAAACTGCTTTTGTACCTTTGTCAAAAGTAATTTGGGCATGGTTGTGTAGGTTGCCTGCTTGGGGAAAAATGAAGTTCTATGTATTTATCATTTTGATTTGGATGATATTCTGAAAAGACCCTGATGCTGGGAAATATTGAGGGCAGGAGGAGAAGGGGATGACAGAGGATGAGATGGTTGGATAGCATCACTGACTTGATGGACATGAGTTTGGGTGAACTCTGGGAGTTGGTGATGGACAGGGAGGCCTGGCGTGCTGCGGTTCATGGGATCACAAAGAGTCGGATACGACTGAGCGACTGAACTGAACTGTGTAGGTTGCCCACTTGGGGAAAAATGAAGTTATATATATTTATCATTTCGATTTGGATGGTATTCTGAATATGAGTTCTTGGATATATATTTTTAAAATATCTTCTGTTATGTTTCTTGTCTTTTTAGTCTCTTAATAGTGTCTTTTGGTGAACAGAAGTTCTGAATTTTAATCAAGTCCAATTTGTTAATATTTTCTTTTGATGGTTAGTGATGTTAATACTGTGTTTTGCCAGTAGGAATGTTTGTGCCAAAATCATGAAAACATTTTCATATACTTTTTGTAGCAGTTTGATTGTTTTAGCTTTTATTTATGTCTGTGATATATTTGAATTACTATTTGTATATGGAGTAAGGATCAAGTTGAGATTTTTTCATATGACATTCACTTGTTGAAATGACCACCCTTACCCCATAGAATTGCAGGGCAGCCTTTCTTGGAAATGCAGGTGACCATACATGTTTGGGCCTGTATCTGGACTCTTTTTTATTCCATTAGTCTGTTTGCCTGTATTTACCCATATCACAGTGGCTTAATTTACAGTAGAATTAGAGCTGCATTACATTAAATTTTGATATCTGATAGTAAAAGACCTTCAACCTTGTATTTCTTCAAGATATCTTTGATTTTTCTATATCCTTCATACTTTCAGGTACGTTTTAAAATCAGTCAATTTTAACCAAAACACTTGCTGGAATTTTGATGGAGAGTATTAGCTTGGGCTGCCGCAACAAAATACTTTAAAATGGGTAGCTTAAATAACAGGAATTAATTTCTCACAGTTCTAGAGTTCAGGGAGTACAGAATTAAGGCACTGGCTGATTCTGGTCCCTGATGAGGGCTTTGTCCTTGCCGAAGACTTTTGCCTTCTCGCTGTGTTCTCTGATGGCCGTGGGGGTAGGGGGGCAGGTGCAGAGAGAGAGGGAGCGGACTTTCTGATGTTTCTTATAAGGGCACTGATCCCATCATGAGGGTCTTACCTTCATCACCTCACCTAAGCCTGATTTTGTGTCAAAGGCCCCATTTCTTGGTATCATCTTAAGGGTCAGAGTTTTAATATGAATTTTGAGGGGACATTAAGTCCATAGTGTGGGTTGCACTGAGTCTCTAGACTATTTTGGAGAGAATGGACAACAGTATTGAGCCTTCTGATATATGAACTTGGTATTACCTTCCATTTATTTAGATTAGCTTCAGTTTCTCTCTCATATATTGTAGTTTTCAGTGTAGAGGTCTCACACATGTTTTGTATTTATTTCTAAGTAACTGATGTTTCGGATGTTCTTAAATTTTGTTCTCCAATTGCATATTGCTGGTATGTGGAAACCTGTTGGTTTTTGTATACTTCCAACAATCTTTCTAAATTTATTTACTGTGTAGAAGTGTAAGTTGATCAGTCTTGTCCAACTCTTTGCGACACCATGGACTGTAGCCCACCAGGCTTTTCTGTCCATGGAATTCTCTAGGCAAGAAATACTGGAGTGGGTAACCATTCCCTTCTCTAGAGGATCTTCCTGACCCAGGGATCGAACCCGAGTCTCCTGTATTTCAGGCAGATTCTTTATCATATGAGCCACCATGGAAGCCCATATCTACTATATATAATGGTTTATAAATTTTGGGGGGAATTTTTTTGGTATGCAGTCATTTTCTTTTTCAATTTTAACACCTTTTATTTCTTTTTTCCCTCTTATTGCACTGCCTAATGTCTTCAGGACAGTTTTAGAAAAGAAAAGAAAGTAAAAAAGCAGTGCCTTGTCTGATCTTAGGGAGAATGTATGTGTTAATTATTTCACAATTTAATATGTTAGCTGTATGATTTTATAGGTATCAATGATTAAAGAAGCTTCCTCTGATTCTTATTTGCTGAGAATTAATAGGTATTGAATTTTATAAAATTCTTTTTTCCTGAATTTATATCTTCATCTTTATTTTGTTAATGTGATGCCTTACATTGATTTTTGAATGTCACCATTATTTTGTTAATGTGATGCCTTACATTGATTTTTGAATGTTAAACTAACCTTACCAAAATAAATCCAACTTGGTCATGATGTGTTCTTCTTTTTAAATTTGTTTTGATTTGCCAATACTTCATTAGGATTTTTTTCATCTATGTTTGAGTAATCTTGGCCCATAATTTTTTGCCTATAATGTTTTTGTCAAAATAATCAAGTTTTATTCCCGTCTTGTGGAATGAATTAGGAAGTTGTTGTTTTTGTTGTTTTCTTTTCTTTTCCTTTTTCTATGAGAGAGTTTATGCAAGATTTACTTCTTTTGTCACCCAGTTCTGTGTTATCATGCTGCTTAATTTTCAGATATTTGGAAAAGCTTTGTTCAGTTCTGATTTAATCACACAATGACCAAAAATATAATTAGTATGATTCTGGCTCTTTGAAATCTGTTGTGATCTGTGACATGGCTCAGCATATGGTTCATTTTCGGGTGATGGTCCATGTGCGTCTGAAGGTAATATGTATCTTTCAGTTGTAGGGTGCAGTGTTCTATGTGTAGGTGGATTAAGTAGAGATTTTCAGTGCTGTGTCTCCACAGTGCTTTCTCTTTCCATCCGTTACTGAGAGGTGTGTTAGCATCTCTATGAAAGTTGATTTACCCATTTTGCTTTTTTCTGCCAAGTTTTGCTGCTTTATATATTTTGAAGACATGTTATTAGGTGCACACAAATTTATGATTGTTGTGTATTTCTGTTGAGCAACCTCTTTACTATCTTGTTCTATTTCTTGTAAGTCTTCTTGCCTTAAAGTCTGTTTTGTCTAATATGTTAATATAGGTAAATCAGCTTTAGTGGTTTCCAATGTATTCACTCCTATGTTGGTTCATCAATCAGCCCTTTTCCCTTCTGTTTTGCAAAACCATGTTAAAACTTCTTGTTTATTGATTATGCATCCTTGTCTTATTCTTTTTATAGTCATAGAAGTATTTTTTTGCCCATTTACTACCATTTTAAATGTGATATGAAAGGAGAATGTAACTGTTGTTTACATTTTAAACAGAAAGGCCTTTTCACTTATTTTCTAACAGTTTATTTTTATTTTCATAGATAGCTCAACAGTTGAATCAGTTGAATTCATCTCATCAAGAAGCTATCATGAAATGCTTAAAAAGTAGGAAAGATGAAATCAAGCAGACTCTGTTGGAAGAAATAGTTGATATTTCCTCTGCACAACTACAGGATTTTGATTGGCAGTTAAAGGTGAGAATATATTTATTTACGAGTATTTATATTTTTTATCTGGAGAAGGAAAATGGCAACCCACTCTAGTATTCTTGCTGGAGAACCCCATGAACAGAGGAGCCTGGTGGGCTACAGACCCTGGGGTCACAAAGAGTCAGACAGGAGTGTTTTCAGGAGGAGAATACTTTCTGTTTCACTTTTTCAATACATTATTTTTTTGTAATATTATATATCTAAAATGTGTTCTTGAGATACATTTTCATAAAAATGTATCAAAGATAATTAAAATTACATCTTTTGTGTTAACTTGCACTGCAGACATCTAAACCATGTATAATAACGTTACAATTATAATGAACTTAATTAACTGAAGTTTTAAGACATGTGGATGAAGGAATAGATATGTGCTTTGTGGCTTTGGGGGATAGGACAAGGATAAAGTATATGATTTGCAATGAAATAGGTTTAATTTCAACCTAAGAAGTAATAATCTAACCCCTATGAGAGTCCGAAAATTATTCTAACCTCTTTTTGGCTTAACACACTCCTCCTCATTACTGGTGCTCAAGTATAGGCTCAGAAACCACTTATTGGAAATACTGAAGAGAGTTAACAGTGAGGTGGGCACCCTGAATGCGCTACTTTCAAATCTCAGACATGGTGAGTCCTGTATTTTGGAGAGAAAATGGAGATGTGTGAAGGTTTGTGTGGTCCTGCAGCGTACGCACCACAGAGGGGGAGTCCTTTACCATCGCCCCCGTCGGTTTTTACAAGTGGTTGCACTCCAAAGTTCAGTTATTACGGGGTTCCTGGCCCAAATTCCAGGGAAATTGAGTTTCTCTTTGCCATCTGCCAGTGAAACTTATGATGCTTGTTTCAAAAAGCTTTAGTATCATAAACGTTTGGTTCTTCCATTTCCTCTCAGCTACTGATTTTAGACAGAGAGTGTAGGAGGGAAAAGTGTCCTGTTTTTGTTGACTGACTCTGGTTGATTGCTATCTTGATAACATTTGTCAGTAGTTTAATGGAAAGCTAACTGCTCGTTATTTAGGCATCTTAATTTCTGAGCTGCACATGTTTTTCATTTTATCTTTGTACGTGGACTTTTGTCCTCTTGGTGTCATTACACTTCTTTAAGAATTCTGTTTCTTGGACCCATTTGGTACCTCTGAGCCATAGCACTGCTCTAGCTGTCTGCTCCTACTGCAGAATCCCAACTAGTTTTCCCTTAACTACGTTCTCGCTTTCATTCACTCTGCTTTCTTTTTCTGTTCAGATATATGCTGGTTTGGCATGAGTTTAATTTCTTTTATTCCTTTCATATTTCCCTGTACTTCATAGCAAACAAGAATACTCTTTTTTTCTTTAATGTGTTGTTTGTAAGTTCTGATGCATATTTAGTATATTCCTTTTTAAAACTACTTATTACTATTTTTCTCATTTTAAACAGCTTGCACTTTCTAGTGACAAGATTGCTTCATTACAAATGCCACTTTTAAGCCTTCATATAGATGTAAAAGAAAATGGTGAAGTCAAGCCATATTCTGTTGAAATGAGTAAAGAAGAGCTGCAGAATCTAATAAATTCCTTGGAAGCCGCTAATAAGGTATGTGTTTTAATTTTGTTGTGTGCTTCAAAGTGTTTAAGTTTTGATTGATTCTACTGGAGCAATATAAGGAAAGCTAATCATTTACATTTAAAGTTGGTTTTGTTCCTGATATTTTATGTCAAGCACAGAAGATGCTTTGTTGATATGTTCTGCATCTCTCATTTTAGATACTACATTTATTACTGATTTGCATTAATAGAACATAATTTGTCAAGTAGTTATATTTTAAGGAATTACAGCTAAATTTGTTTTGCTCTAGTCCCCATTAATGATAAAAAATTTTTTTTATCTTGGGGCTGTGAAATTAGCTAATTCTGAAGAGATTTAATGATCATAAATAGTTATGATTCTGAAGAAAAGATTATTTAACTGGACAAATGGTAGAAAATTTCTTTAAGTTCAGGAGACAAAATATCACTTATTTTTGAGACAAACTAATTAAGGACCAAATGCTTTGCATTTACAAAGGAATGGCTAAATAACAGTAATAATTTTGAGTGTCTAATGAGAAAAATGATATTCAAACAGTAGAGAATGCTGTGAAGACATAAAAATAACCGTCTGCATTGTGTATGGCCCTCCCCTATTGCTGAGCATCACCTCTAGTGATTGTGTCTCGAGGATTGAAGTCGGTTATTCTTAGCCCCTCTCTTGACGCGAACCTATCTTGTCTCCATCCCTTTGAAACCCCGTATCCTTCATCTTCTGCAGTCGCTCGGGCATCCCAGTGCCTTGACGACTCGTCCACGCGCCCAGTAATAAACCGGTAGCCTGGCTTGCCTTTTGATGGGGCTGCATGTCTGAAGGAGTATGTGGCAGGTTCTGGTGTAAATGTTGAATGAGTCTGAACCATGGATCCTTGCAGGCCTGTGTTTTTTTGTGTTATTCTTGTCAGTTCTCCAGGCCCTTCAGAGATTTCAAAGCATCTCATTCAGCATATACTGGCATCTTTGGTATAATCTGATTGCTGCCCTTCCTCCATTTTGTGTTTGAAGGTGGTCCTGCAGTTGAAATAGCTGGAAATGATGAATACCAACATTATCAGATTCCACTGGTACAACTGATGCACAGAGAGAATACCATGTGTTCACAGAAGCTGAATGGCCAGCTGAGAAAGCAGCAGTGTTGAGATTACAAAGACAACAACTTAACAGCATCCCTAAAGAAAAGGAAATTTTATGGTTGACAGGAAATGCATGAAAACATGAAAGATGAAAAGGCTGTAAACCTAGTTTATATTTTCATAATGACTGTTTTGCTTCATTTATTAAATATTTGAAAAGGCTTTATAGATACAGTTTTATGGTAAGCTAAAAATAGACTCTAAAGTAATGTAAACATACAAGCACAAATATACTTGACTATTGCTTAAAGAACCATGAATAGCAAGGATGTTTATTATGGATATATGTGGTGGTTCACTTGTGATATTTTTTAAAAATGATTTTTAAAGGATGTGTAAGCTGCATTTAACTCAGGAGATCCCATGCTTTTCTCATATTTCAAAGGAAAAGTTATAAAGTGTAAAATTTTATAGAGAAGCTCTCCAGACTTTAATTGGAAGGAAAAAAAAACTAAATCTGAGTGAACAATTTTGAATTCTAGGAACTAAAATATTATATTTGAACATAGATAAAAGTGAAAACAACACTGTTACTTCTGCATTTCTGTGTCTATTCAGGAGACTATGCTCTGATAAAAAATATGTGTCACTGTATAGTGTGTACCTTATTACCCCAATATCTGCTGAGACTATACAGGTCCCTATTTATTGTAAATTCTTAATTTGTTGTAAACTTAATGGAGTTCTGGATGGTAACAACTTCATTGGAAAGCAAACCATTTTTAATTTCAGTGACCTTTAGAAACAAGCATTCTGAGCAAATAAAAATATATTATCTTTATGTTTTGCTGTATTTTCAAATTAATTCCTACATGATGCAGTATGATGCATCATCGGTACCTGCTGTTTTGCAAGCTTTATATCTCCTTAGAGCATCAGACTGTTACTTGAGGTATCCAGAGCAATCCCTGTTATTTTTATACAAATGGGTATATAGGTTTAGGGAGATTGATAAATGTGACTGTGGTCTAGATAATGCCACTGTGTGAACTGTTTGTTACAGCTTGGTGATTAGATGTGGAGGTTGTGGTAGAATGTTCTTCAATATACTGCTTTTTTCACTGAGAAATTTTGGCCATAAAAAATAAAAATGAGCTGAACTAACCAGCGTGCTTAGGGAGGTGGTAGTTGATTTACCTTCTTGTGCAAATTCCTTGTTGTTGTACCAGGAACAGTGGAGACGGAAAAGGCAGTCCACTCCAGTGTTCTTGCCTGGAGAATCCCATGGACAGAGGAGCCTGGTGGGCTTCAGTCCACGGGGTCACAAAAGCCGGAGGTAGTAGTTGATTTACCTTCTTGTGCAAATTCCTTGTTGTTGTACCAGGAACAGTGGAGAAGGAAAAGGCAGTCCACTCCAGTGTTCTTGCCTGGAGAATCCCACGGACAGAGGAGCCTGGTGGGCTTCAGTCCACGGGGTCACAAAAGCCGGATGCGACTTAGGGACTGAAGCACCACCACCACCACCAGTTACAGCTTGCAGACGGGCACTTCCAATAATACTGGTTGATCTGGGGTCCTTCTGAATTTCAACGCTCCACACAGTCCTTCCTTTGAGAAGGAAAAAACCTTTCTCTTCTTAGTCTTTCTCTCACTACATTATCACTAGATTAGCAGACTTAAATACTTTATTGAAGTATGACTGAAATAAACTACACACGTTTAAAGTGGACAGTCTGAGCAGTTTTCATTTGTACATACCCAGGAAAGCTTCTGGAGTAGGAAATGGCAACCCACTCCAGTAATCTTGCCTGGGAAATATGACGGGCAGAGTAAGCTGGTGGGCTACAGTCCACAGGGCTGCAAAGAGTTGGAGATGACAGAGCACCTGAGCACAGGAGAGCATCACGTCAATCAGGATGGTGAGCAGGGAATCACTCCTGAAAGAGTCCTGGTTCATTGTGATCCTTCTTGCCCGCTTTGCTCTGAGACAACCACTGATCTGCTTCCTGCCACTATAGATGAGTTCACATTTTTCCAGAGTTTAAATGGAATCATACAGCATGTTCCTTTTTGTGTGTAATCTGGCTTCTTTGATTATTGAGTTCATCCATGTTACAACATTTATCAGTAGTTGGTTTCCACTTTATTGTTGAGAACTATTCTGCTGTAGAATTCCACCATCATTTGTTTATCTGTTCACCTGTTAATGGATATTTTGGTTGTTTACAATTTTTGGCTGTTAAAATACACGGAATGCTGTGACCATTCTTGTATGTGTCTTTGTATGGACATATACTTTCTTTTGGAAGTAAATACTTAGGCATGAAACACCTGGATCATGTGGTAGGTGTATGTTTATCTTTTCAAGAAACTTCCAAACTATGCCAAACTAATTTTTACCATTTTACATTCCACGCCACCGTCTGTGAGAGTTCCCCCTCCACCTCCTTGCTAACACATGGTGTGGTCAGTCTTTTTAATTTCAACTATTCTAATAGGTGTGTTGCAGTATCTCATTGTGGTTTTAATAATATTCTTTTCCGTAATGACTAATGATGTTGAATGTCTTTTTATGTGCTTTTTTGTCATCTGTACATCTTTGGTGNTCCTATTGTAAAAAAAAAAAAAAAGCAAGGTGCTGAGTGGGGAATAAAGCGGTGAAGGCAAAAGTAACAAATATGTTGAGCAGAAAGGAGAGAAAGAAAAGAAAGAATAGATATGCAAAGTTAAGTAGAATTGGATAAAGATTTATATACATAAAAGATTAACAGCAAGGGGAAAAGAACAATAGGAAAAGCAAACAAAGGAATAAATGTAAAAATATAATAGGTTTGAAAAAATTAGGGAAAAAAAGAAAACTCCACAAAACTGCAAAAGCCCAATGTAGAGGCAAAGGTTTATGACAATAAAACGTGTGACGAAAAAAGCTCAATTAGATCCCATAGTGCCGATAAAGTTGACAAGTACAACAGAGGGGGTGGGGGGAATAGGGAAACAAAATCCAAAAGAAACTACAGAACAAGTCGAAAGAACAGTAAATGTTTCTCTTGAGTCACGCGGCCAGGACCCTGTCCCTCGCTGGGCGTCGCGGTCCGCCCCACCTCCTAGGATGCCCTCCAGCCCTGCTGCCTCTGGGCCGGCTGTGGGGGCAGCTCAGGCTCTAGCCTGGTCCTGCCCCCTGTGTTCTTGCCGCCATCGTGCACAGCTCTCAGAACTAGTGCGTCTTCTTCCGTGTGAGCTTTCAGTGTTGCTTTATATATTCTGTAAACACAGAGTCTGCCTAGCTGATCGTGTGGATTTAATCTGCAGCTGGTGCAGCTGGTGGGAAGGTTTTCGGTCTTCATCCTTAGCCACACTGCAGCTGGGTTTCAGTTGTGGTTTTATTTTCACCTCTGCATGTAGGTCATCCAGTGGGGTTTGCTCCAGAGACTGCCCTGGAGGACTTGGGTCTGCCCCAGTGACAGCCAGGTGTGCAGGTGGTGCAGCTGCTTGGGTCGCAGGGGCTTCAGGTACTCGAGGGAGTGGGCTGCTCAGCAGCAGGAAATAATAGTGCTCTAAAAGGGTATGAAATTCAGACTTAAATTGAAGAACATAGGGTCGCAGGGGATCGAGGTACTCGAGGGAGTTGGCTGCTCAGCAGCAGGAGATAATAGTGCTCTAAAAGTGTATGAAATTCAGACTTAAATTGAAGAATGTAGGGAAAACCATTAGACCATTCAGGTATGACCTAAATCAAATCCCTTACAATCAAACAGTGGAAGTGACAAATAGATTCAAGGGATTAGATCTGACAGAGCGCCTGAAGAACTATGGACAGAGGTTCATGACATCGTATAGGAGGCAGTGATCAAGATCATCCCCAAGAAAAGGAAATGCAAAAAGGCAACACAGTTGTCTGAGGGGGCCTTAAAAGTCACTGAGAAAAGAAGAGAAGCAAAAGGCAAAGGAGAAAAGGAAAGATATACCCATTTGAATGCAGAGTTACAAAGAATAACAAGGAGTGATATGAAAGATGTCATCAGTGATCAATGCAAAGAAATAGAGGAAAACAATAGAATGGGAAAGATGAGAGATCTTGTTAAGGTAATTAGAGATACCAAGGGAATATTACATGCAAAGATGGACACAATAAAGGACAGAAACAGTGGGGACCTGACAGAAGCAGAGGATGTTAAGAAGAGGTGGCAAGAGTACACAGAATTGTACAAAAAAAATCCTCACGACCCAGATAATCACGATGGTGTGATCACTCCCCTAGAGCCAGACATCCTGGACTGTGAAGTCAAGTGGGCCTTAGGAGGCATCACTACCAACAAAGCCAGTGGAGGCGATGGAATTCCAGTCAAGCTATTTCAAATCCTAAAAGAGGATGCTGTGAAAGTGCTGCATGCACTCAATATGCCAGCAAATTTGGAAAACTCAGCAGTGGCCACAGGACTGGAAAAGATCAGTTTTCATTCCAATCCC